CAGGGATGTTAACTATGGGGAACCTAAGGAAGTGGATCTAGTTAGAAGCAGCCGAACGGCTAGAGACATGCATCACAGCGTAGGCGAAATGAGACACTTGGTGGCTAGCATGCAAAACATATGCACAACACAAGAGCAGAAACAAAGGAACACACCGACAAACACGCGCACACAAACGCAAACACAGACACGCCGCCACAGGCCGGAGAATACTAACCCACCGCGCAGGCCAGCTAACGACTCGGGCTATTATACACGCCCGCCGCCGGCTAGGCAAGACAATCGCTTCGACGGGAGACCGGTAACTTAGCGACTTGTGTTACCCGCAGCTGTTCACCCGTGACTGACTGTAATTTCGGACACTGCTCGTTGTCGAGCGTGGCAGCCTCTCTTACGTGACTGGGTAACCCCCTCCACACCGTCTCGTGAATTAATGAACATTCTGCGCCGCTGTCGACAAGAGCGATTAGTTTTTGGCCCGCCACCCGAACATCACAACATGGCGCGACACGAAGCGTGTGCGACCGTATCTGACCCGCCCCTACCTTCTGTTGCGGTCTATCGGGCGCGGTTCGTTTCCCGACGGTAATACTACCCGACAATCTCGTGCAAAATGCCCCTCTCTGCCACAACGGAAACACAACCTTATCTGATTTGGCGGTCTCCCGTCGAAGCGATTGTCTTGCCTAGCCGGCGGCGGGCGTGTGTAATAGCCCGAGTCGTTAGCTGGCCTACGCGGTGGGTTAGTATTCTCCGGCCCGTGGCGGCGTGTCTGTGCTTGCGTTTGTGTGCGCGTGTTTGGCGGCGTGTTTCTTTGTTTCTGCTCTTGTGTTGTGCATATGTTTTGCATGCTAGCCACCAAGTGCCTCATTTCGCCTACGCTGTGATGCATGTCTCTAGCCGTTCGGCTGCTTCTAACTAGATCCACTTCCATAGGTTCCCCATAGTTAACATCCCTGTAGCGTTGCCCACCGTTATCATCCCTGTAGCGTTGCCCCTCCCTGTTACGTATTCGCATTGCGATCCCTTGTTCTACTACCGCTTGCCTGTCGGCCATCTCGAGTGCCTCTTGCAGTGTGCGTGGGTCGCGTTTCATCAATGTTGTTTGTGTCGATATACTGCTTAACCCCTCCGAAAAAATTTCCGTCAGCTGTTTCTGCGTGATTTCGTGTTGCAACTGGTCTCGTGGAATTGCTAGGTGTGCTACCTGTCGTAACCGATCCGCGTAATCGCGGATAGACTCTCCCCTCTCTTGGTTAAAATTTTTTAAAGCGTTTTTAGCCGAAAGTTCGGACATAGGGTCCTTATAGCGTGTTTGTAAAGCTGCGTACAGCCGATCCCACGTAATGTCAGGCGTATCTATTAACAAACGGCGAGTATATTCCGACGCTGCGCCACCCAAGGTGCTTATTGCTAAATTTCTGAATTCCGTTTCCGTTAAATTTAACTCTAAATGCGCCCACGTTAATTGATTAATCCATTCCTGGAACTTGGCCCCCAACAAAAGCTCATTCCCCATAAATTTAGTAATACTCTGCCGAACTTCTGCTACCCTTAAACCTCTCGTAAATCGTTCCGCTACATTTTCCATAGAAGGCTTAAGGCCCTCCGTAAATACCCGCGTTATTCAATCGTAGCTTCCGTCATCGTGGTCGGAGCCGAGGGTAAATGGTAAACGGTAAATGTTAAGTAATGACTAGGGTATGAGGGACGATGTAAATACCGCACAACATGTGATACAATGTAAAACCGACAAATAACGTTCCACTTACCCGACAAGTGAGTGCTGACAGTGAAGTTCTACGGCCACGTCGATCGCAGTAGCGTAGCACTTTGCGTTGTGTCGCAAAGGGAGACGAAGATTCTTTGGTCAAACGGCGCCAAATGTAGCCTCTAAGTTCGTATCGTAGACGGTAACTCGTAGATAGTAGACGGGACGGTGATGTAAACGGTAACCAACTTATAGCTTTATTCTAAACACGAACAGTGACAGTGTACACGTACCAACTCGTAGCCGGGTTCTCTCCCGAACTCACTCAAAACCCTTCCTTTTATGCGTCTCTNATATATATCTATGGTTTACCTCAGCCAGATACGTGAGTCTCCCACGAAATGCGTGAGACTTGGTAGCTAGGTCTGCTAACAGTAACAGAGTAAGATTTAAACAAATAGGTGAAATTATATTTTCAGGGTGCCTCAAATGCAGTCTGAGACATTCAAATATTTACAATTTTGCTGGGGGAGTGCCCCAGAACCTCTCTCCCTCCGTGTCTGCCCACCCCTATCCTCTTGGGTTTGGGTTACATTATTGTATCTATGCAGTCATCAAAATAAGAGACCTCTTATCANATGATGTCAGGCAACACAGTAAAATAGGCGCGTAGAAGTGACCGCATAGAAAATATCTCTAGCCGATGTTTATTTAAATATTTGTCGGGTAAATAAAAATAATTATACAATTTACTTCATTTGTTTTTCATTTTTCATTGAACTGTTGTTGTTTCTTCACTTTGTTCTAAATATAATTGTACCATAGCTTACCGCAACCGCGGTAACGTAGCAACAAGCCTGTACGCGTTCCCTGCAAGGTAAACCACCTTGAGGTAAACAATTATGGCAGAGCCGAAGTGTGCGAATTGCGATTCAACATTCAAGAAAAAAGGTAAAAACTTTTACAGGACTGGTTTTGATTCCTCAGTCAAGTTAAATGCGATCGACAAGACAGTCAAGGACGTGCTGGAGGAAGAGTTAAACTTGCAGCTTACACCGGAGCAAAAGAAACAACGCTTCCTCTGCCCAAAATGTTCGTGGGCATTGCTGTTCATGGCCAAGAGCAGGCAGAAGCGTCGAAAAGCTCGCGCGACGTTCAGCCGCCAGACAAAGGGCTATCTGGCTTTGAAGCGGAAAGGGCCGCTAAGCCCTTATGCGACTCCAGAGAAACGAAAGCGATTGTGCGCTGGCCCATCAAACGTAATTATTTTTTATGCCAATGCAATGGCAATAATTACCCTCTTAATTAATTTTTATTTCTACACATTTGTCATTGAACAATGAAACTAAAAGATTAAAATCAAGTGGCTGACGTCATTAGAAATAGAAGTACGTGCCTATGACTATGTCACATCTAAAGGGGAAATTAAATTAGCCTATATATGAGATTTTAGTCCTATGATACTAGCACCAATTGAGGAAGGCTTCAATGGAATAGCATTAATTTGTCCCATAATTCACAAAGTAAATTAAATAACACATTATATTTAAGAAATTAATTGTAACTTGTGCTGCAGTTGCAGAGTCCGAAACCTGCGAAGAGGCGAAAAAGTCCTGAGAAACCGATGAAGGTATGACAATTTATATATTAATATTAAACCTGGTGTAACTGTAAGAATATACAACGAAATTAAAATAGAAATGACAGTTATTATTGATCAAAATTTATTTATAGGCCTACCAGGTGTAAGTGCCAAATCTAAACCGTTATCAAATCTACCCGTAAACCTTGATTTTATGCATTTTACGCATCATGGGGATTAGTTTAGTATATATATGCTTCCTGGAGTGAGTTCTATATATATATCTCTCTCTCTCTCTCTCTATCTCTCTCGCTCCTTCCCTCTCCCTCTCTCTCCCTTCCTCTCTCTCTCTCTCTCTCACAGCAGTTATCGTAGCAAGAACGTTTATTTTGTCCATATTTTGTTTTGTTTCGTTTTTTGTCCATATTTGCTCCATATATTTTCATTTTGTTCATTTTAACCATTTTTACCCTGTTAGCATAAAAGTATTGTTAGTATTTGTATATTTTCTATGTTTTACTTGCTTTTTAGGCAGTACCGCTCGGAATACATCTTGCAAGAGCAGTAAAATTCCTGAAGAGATTTCAGTACCGCCGGGCAGTCAAGATCCTGGCAGCTTACAGCACTGGCTTCAAGAAAGCAATGACTAGCTGGGCACACGAGGCAGTGCGACAGGAGACGCAGAAACTCCTTGGAAAAAAGAAATCTCTATTTCATGGAAAGAAATCGTTGGAACAAATTAGCAATTTCAGCTGGGATGATCGCTATGCCGAATTAAAGGAAACTTGCCCTCTTCTTACAGACCTCCTAACTGCATCTGTCACTTCTAGGAAATCACTCACGCATCTTGGACTAGCTGGTGCACCAACAGTTTCAATCAAACCTACTCTAGGCGTTCTCATCTCAATAGTCCTGTACCAGCTACAACCAAGACGGATGAGTGACTTACAAGAGCTCATTGGCCTGCAGTTGTGGATGTCTGGCTGCAAAAGACAGGTATGTTCTTGTAAATTCACTTAAAGGGACAGTAGCCTCTAGGATTTTACTGCATACAACTGTACTTACTGTATAACAAATCGTCTATACCCACATGTATTTGTCACCAGATACTTAATTAATTATTTACACATCAACGCTACGAAATTTGAACGGCGCCATGACACCCGCGACCGTGCTGCCACCCTTAAAAAGTTGCGTATTTGCATTTTTATTTTGCAGGTAAATGACGGAGGGCTAATCACAAAAGTGAAATTGTATTGAGCTACAGCTACATGTAGAATATGTTTTGATGTGGCGATACATAGCGGGAGTAAAGCAAAATAAGAGCATGCATTATTGTTATCTTTAGTTTTGAACTTCAGACCCCTGACTCCCTCATTTTGCTGTGGACTCCCTCTTTTTCAGGCCAGGGAGTTTGTTAGACACCCTTGATCAGAAGTTAATTGTTACCCGTGCTTACACACGTTGGTTTATTGAAAGTGCAGTCAATGGTTTCCTGTTTATTATTCAGATGTTTCCCAGATTAAACCACCTGGGCCTGAGCGTCGGCATTGATGGCACTAAAAATGTCATTGACCGTGTGCGAAAGAAGTACGATGACGAAGTTGTGCAGCACCGGTCCAGAGTGACGGATTCTCTGCTTTGGTCTGCCGAGCTGCCTCCTTTCAGGAAACGGGATGCTGACGGACAGTCCAGCGATGCCACTCCCATCCACAAAGGAGACAAAGGTAACAATTACACAATTTTAGATTTTCACAAGTGCTATTGCTATATGAAAACATAGATGTGCCTTAACATGCTTACCTTAATGTTGGATGTATACGCAGCAACATTTATAATGCTATATAAGTTTCAGTTTCCATTAAAATTTCCCTACAGAGACTTACCTAAATTAACTTTAGCAATGTATTACCCCATGCACCTAGTGAAAACGTTGCAGAAATACTAACACTAACAGCACATGTGTAATCTCATGTACGATGTGTGCTGTCTCTTTCAGGCACACTTGGGTACTCATTGTGCTTTGACAATGTCAATCAGCGAGTATCCGTACGCCATCAGACCAGAGACAAAACCAATAAACAGTTTAATATGGTCCAAGCCTATGCTGCCATAGACAGAATTCCGTCACTTCACCTAAGTGACGAGCAACCTTCTCCTGCAGACATATCCTTAATACCATTAGAGCAATACTTGCCGTCAACAACCGATGAAGCTGCTCTGCAACAAGAAATGAGTCAGCTCATAGAAAGAGTGCTTTGCACTAACATGCCATTCTTGCATGACCTACAGAGTGAAGTGGCCGGGCACATCCAGCACGAGTTCCAACAGGAGTCATCTGCTAAGAGTCAAATCGTACGTTTGAAATTTCCGTATTTCTTGTTAATTCTTCGTTATCTACAATTTTTCATTCATGAGTAATGCGCCGATACTATTCTATGCAACCAGTTTAAGAAAGCATCAAACCTATTCAATAAAAAATGTAGTGTTTAACCATATTGTAGCGATGTTACTTGCATAAACTGAATTTTTTGCTTGCAGTTTTACTGGAAATGCATGTGGCTGTCGTTAGCTGTTGTAACGTTATGTTTTACTACTTTCAGTTACCATTGGGTGTCCTCGATAAGGATGAGAGCAAAGTGGCCGAGATGGTGGAGATAATGGCCGAGTACCACCGCTACGTGCCACTAAAGCCAAACGGGGATCCCTTCACTCTTCCTCTCTATGCCGATGGGCTCAGCTGCGAACGTGGCAACGATGCACAAAATGCCAGGGTCAATGGTAACTCACCTTGGGAGCAGCTGCAAGGCCTGACCATGGGTATACAGGAATGGCACAAGCGCTGCCTTCTGCTGCAGGTGCGCACATATGCTATTACATATTGACGTAATTCTATTATTACATTATTACCATTTCAGTATTCGCTAAATTATAAATGTCCTACTGAAGTAGAAATACGTGAGCATGCAGTTGTGTAACTTGTGTGACACAATTGTCTTAAAGGGAGAGTTTACTCTAGGTTCTAGGGTTACTTTCAGCTAATTTAGGTTATAATTACGCTACATAAAAAGTTTCATGGTTCAATCACCATTAGAAATCTTTAAACAAAATGTTTTAAAACTAACGACTACAGTTTGATTACAACGACGGTGGCGCCACTCAGAGCGCACGATCTGAGAAGTTGTGCAAACGGACTTTCCAGCCAAGGGCTACAGACCGAGGGTGTTTCTTATTTATTCATTTAAAAGCAAAAGGATTGTAATATCTTATAAACGACATATAGTTTCAGTTATAATATGGATAAATTTGCCCTAAAATGAATATCGTTCGGTTAAATAGCATTTAGGTATAAATATAATTGCACTTTTGTGATTAGCCCTCGGTCTGTAACGTGCAAAATAAATGGTCAAATACGCAACTTTTTCGGGGTGGCAGCACGGTCGCGGGTGTCATGGCGCCTTTCAAATTTCGTAGCGTTGATGTGTAATTAATTATAACAATTAAATTAGGTATCTGGTAACAAATACGTGTGGGTATAGACGATTTGTTATACAGTAAGTACAGTTGTATGCAGTAAAATCCTAGAGGCTACTGTCCCTTTAACTAATGTGGCATACATTGCAGGATATCTTCGATGAGCTATACTCTGCCTCTAGTGGAAGAGAGAAGGGTACCCTTGTTCATTTGAAGCAAGTATTTAATCACCGCAACGTGTCAAGTGACTGCAAGCAGAAGTTCAACCACAACGAAGAGTTTCTAGAATTCTGTTGCGACGGATACATCGTCCTGGCTGCATTACATTGCATGAAGACAAAAACTGTTCAACAAACACCCGAGAATTTTCCAAACAGCAGACAAGAACAGATTGCATTCATTAAAACAATAGCTAAACAGATACTCAACATACTGTACACATCCTGCCAGGAAACCGTCACCAACATATTGAACGCCAGTGGAACAGGCCCAACGGAATACTTATACTGCGTCTGCAAACAAGACTTCCCCGGATCCGCCATGATTTTCTGCGAAAACAGAAACTGCAGGAGGGGAACGTGGTTTCATCTTGAATGCATCGGAATGAAGGAAGATGACGTGCCAGACGGCAAATGGTACTGCTGTATATCCTGCCATACCTCCGCAGAATCACCAACGTTGGACTATCAAGGGCCTGTCGACGTCAAGAGACTGTATACTTCAAGGTTGATGTGGAGAGGTTTGAACCAAAAAGTTCGCAGGGATGCCATTCGCGAAAATGATGGCCATAGGATCATCCTGCATTGGAAATTCGATATGCTCGAATTTTTCAATAACCATCACCCCAAATACTTTCTGTTTGGGCACAAGCTGCTTTCTGCAGTCCATGGTGCTGTCTCGGAGCGGCTACAACACACGCTGACATGGAACAGGACAGTGAACGTCAACGGAGGCAAGGGCAAAAATATTGCAATGGACCTGCACATGGAATTCTTGAACAAGGAGTATAAAGGTGAATTGGATGATAACGTGTGTGCTGTTGAAATGTTATCTACATGTGTGTGTGTGTGTGTGTGCGTGCGTGCGTGCGTGCGTGCGTGTGTGTTTGTATTGTGTGAATGTGACAATGTTATAACTACTTATACAAAGCAAATACGACACCAACGCATCTAAATTTAACAGTTATTCTGCCTTTATTGACCTTGTAATTGCAGTTGCGTTTTAAAAATCGTTCCAATAACATTGACATCAGCAATCCATTACATACTAACAATAGTAACACAGAATAATTTAAATGTCAATTATTACATGTTCACTAGAATTACACTGTATGACACTGCATTTACACTAGTGACATACCTGGCAAGTTAATGTTCTGTTTAGAGACTAAACGTTTTTCCTGTGGCATTGACACCCTAAAATGGTTCGATGTATATGTGCGCATGAAATCTCATGGAATCAAAATTCTGAACTCACAGGTGTTACTAATTTTTTCAGAAAGTGTCAAAGGTGCTGCTGGGCATTTAACTGCCGACACAGTCGCACGCCACAGCCAGATGGTCGGTGTGGGAAAGATCCTCGTTTCGGTTTTTGAGAAGGAGGTATCTCAATTATCACGAGCATCGGTGCACACAAAGACAGTGACAGACAGGCAGAAGGACATTGAGGAATTTGTTTCCATATTGATAGGGGAAGACTTGTTCACCTGCAAGGCCGGTCGAAAACACAAGTCCTTCCAAAACATGCCATCACAAACACTCAGCAACATTAGGGTAGATGCGTTTAAATCACGATTGCTGAGGCAGGAAGTTCAGTAATGTGGTTTTTGATAAACATTTACAAGTGCAAGTTTTCTGACAAACAATACAACATGAACATTTCGCACAAAAACACGTATCATTGCAATCGCCGTTACAGGTTCGTAAATTTTTTAGTATATCTATTTGTGCAACATTAATGCCATCTAACATGAACGATTCCAGGACTGTGACGCGTATACAAGAATTTAAGTTATTAGCAATCTTTATAAAATTTTGGTCATGAACGTTAGCGAAACTTCTTTTAAATGCATAGCAGATAGCATAGCCTCTGTGTCCGTCTCTAGCACATCTCCCAATCTCCTGCCAATAAGCCAGAGCTGTCTCAGGTAACCCCCAATGAACTATAACGTCCACATCTTTTACATTTATTCCCAATCCAAAAGCGACTGTTGAAATAAGAACCCGAATATTGCCGCCTGAATTTGTGAAGTCTTTTAGTATTTTATCTTTAACGTCAGTTGTTGTTTTGGAATGGAACATTTCGACTTTTCTGTTTTCATAGCCAGGATGGTCATTTACGAATGCACTGTTTTTTAAATTTTGTAAAAGCCACATGAATATTTTATAACAATAATTGATAGATCTGACATACACAATGACCCTTTTTGGACTTGATGAATTTCGGAGGTTATCAAGCAGCCATTCCATGTCGCTGTCGAACTTTCCAACCGATGGCTCCACATGTAGAAATGTGTTGGGTCTGCAATATGAAAAGAAAAACACTGCAGCACATCATCTGTGCAAGGCACTGTTAATAAAGTTATGGGTGTATGATCGCGCAGGTGTCTTCGTAGTCACAAGTAGGGTGTTTCCTGGGTATTGGTTCTGCCTAGCAAGTATGCCTTACATCCCCGTTTGAGGAACAGTTGCCTGAACTCCTGGCATCGCGTCTGAGCTCATCCTTCAGCTTCTTACCTCTGCGTGAGGCGAGGGTGGGTGTATGATCGCGCAAGTGTCTCAAGGCCGGTGAGGCTGAGAGAACGTGCCAGTAAGTGAGTACGTTCTGTTTGAACGATGGGTTGCTGGGGTTGTATTCCGTAATAGAAGGGATTTGTTGGTAAGAAGCGCAAGGTGAGAAGCGCATCAGGGGGCGGTGTGAAGCTACAACAGTTTAACACAAGAAAGTGTAATTACGTAACGTTTCATATAGTTTCAACTGTGTATTATAACATGCATGTATTTACCTGTTGGGTAGATTTGCAACAACTACAGTGCTGTCTGACTGGAAACCCAGCACCGAGTAGATATCTGTTTGGATTTCTTTTGTTGCTGTGGCTGTCATTGCTAAACTTGGAGTGTCAAGCAATGACTGTACAGTCCCAACATCCCTGTAGGCAGGTCGAAAGTCGACTCCCCTACGGAAAAAGATATATCCGTGTTATTGTAATTATACAAATATTAATTGTATTTGTTAGCTGTCATTGCCTCGCTTACATTGACATAACAATGATATTGCATATTTTATGTTTTGCGAGTGAAAGATGTCACTATCATTTGCATATATTGTGTGTGTATGTATATATATGTATATATTGTGTATGTATATATGTATATACTGTGTAACAGTAAAAGATATGTTAGGTGATCTTAATTTACGTTATGATTTTGGGTTGCACTAGCTTGTTCCACAAATAATTTGTCTCTTACCATGAACATATGCAGTGTGCTTCGTCGTACACAACTGCTACAATCCTCTTCATGTAATGCAGTTTTATCATGCGCATCCATACACTTTGAAGTATTGCTTCGGGCGAAGTGAATAGGATACTCATATCCCCTTGTATGATATCTGGAGTTAAAAAAATCATTTTAGTTATTTGACTGGTTTCAAAGAGAACATAAGGACATAGCTAATAACTTTTTGTCATATATAACCCCCCTCCCCCCCCAAACTTCTCTGTACTTAAATGAAGCAAATGAATATAGCATATATACGGCTAAACTTAAGAAACGGTCATATATTGCAAAACCTATGTGTATTGGGAGTATTCATTCATCATGGTCGTGCTAAGACACCAAATAGTAATAATAAATTGCACTTTTAAATTTAACCCAAAACGAATGTAAAAACCCAACGTAAATACCGCTCTGTCGGGCTGACTCCGTTTATCTATGATAGAGAGTCGTAGCTAGTCTTCCGATAGTTACTATGATATGGCAGTATATATTATAGAGGTAGATCTGTGTGTGTGCATATTACATGGCCTTGTTTTTGCCAGGGCAGAGAGGCTGAAAAACATGAGAGGGGATAGACAGAACAATATGTGGCTATGGTGTTATAGGAGGTGGAGGTTATGTGATAGATATGGATATACAGACGTCGTAACGGCTAGTTACTACATCGCTAGGTGTCTATGTTTCATAGTTTGCCAATATTCTGTTTTCGCATGCCTTCTCTGTCTCCGAAGTGTAGAGAAGTGGTGAGTGTGTCTGTCTACTGCGAGAAGCAGTTAGCACGTCTGTCTACTGCGAGAAACAGTGAGCGCGTCTAAGACACAAAATAGTAATAATAAATTGCACTTTCAACTTTGACCCAAAAGTAAACGTAAAAACCCACTTAAATATCGGTCTGTACCATTAATTTCGTCCTGCGCAAAGGCTCCAGCATTGATGCCATGTGTTCTGGCAACGCCAACCTGATCCTGTATTAGTGCTGTCAGCGGTGAAATAACCAGCACTGTGTGCTTTTTGCCAGGGTCGATCTGTAAGATAAATTGTCTACAGTCACGCAAATGTAAAAAATACTATAATTTCTAATTATTATATTGTTGTTACCAAGTAATTAAACCTTCAAAATAAATAATACTACTCTGAAATTTTGTTGTTATTGTTAATTTGTGTATTAAGACCTAGTATTAATATTACTATTATTAAGACTAAGACTAAGAGTAAGAATATTATTTTATAGGCCTACTCACCACATCCAAAATCAGTGGAAGCAGCAGAAATATCATCGACTTCCCAAAACCAGTAGGCAACAGTGCAAAAACATCTTTTTTCTGCACTAGGCTAGTTAATATCCTGCGCTGCTCTTCTTTCAAGTCAATATTAAATCTAAATTTTGCTTTCACTTTGTCAATCGCTTTGCTCAATTCAACCTCCATATCATATTCTATTATATCTTATATTGTTTACAGGGAACGCGTACAGGCTTGTTGCTACGTTACCGGGGTTGCGGTAAGCTATGGTACAATTATATTTAGAACAAAGTGAAGAAACAACAACAGCTCAATGAAAAACAAAAAACAAATGAAGTAAATTGTATAATTATTTTTATTTACCCGACAAATATTTAAATAAACATCGGCTAGAGATATTTTCTATGCGGTCACTTCTACGCGCCTATTTTACTGTGTTGCCTGACATCATGCGGGCTCTGGTGACATCATGACTGACAGCAGGCATCCCGTGATGCATTCGATCTTGGAGCCAGCCGAAGTTAGCCGAACGCTATGCGCATTGGGAATGCGTACGTCACAGGTCAACAGAAATGGCGCTCAGTATATCCGCCGCTCGTCACTTCGAATTTTTGTAACAGGTTATATTAGTTTAAATACAGAGTATTGCCGATACATAGTTAACGCTTCCGAATAGCGGAGAAAAGGTTCGCTGTTTTAGAATAAACCCAGTTCTGAAGTTCTAGTCTCTGAAAATACACCAGCAAACCTGCCCGAGTGATTTCACTGGCATTGCTCCGCACAAAAGGATAGGCTCGCGGTGCTAACCCTTATCCTCTGGGTTTGGGTTACATTATTGTTATCTAGGTAGATATGGAGCCCCCCCGAGCTCGATCCAGGCGGTCGTGCCTTTAATGGCAGTCGTGGCCTTGCTGGCTTGCCGGAATCCTAGTTGTAGGCGGGAGGGGGGGATGTTAGAATGACTTCGACTCGTTATAGGTGACGGTAGACCACCTATTTGGCTCCCCTCCTTCGAACAGCAAGAGTCAACTAGGGAGGTAGAGTCTTGAGATGTCGACCGTATCACATGAGCGAAATGCCACTACGTACACTTCTCATAGCCTTGGTTATGTCGCTGCCGCTACTATTGCCTCTAGCGCCACAATCAGGCTTCGCGCATAACTGGCAGGATAATTTGCTGCTTCGCCTGCCGATAGTTATGCAGTTCACTTAGGACGATTTAACATTCGACCCGTGCAGCCCGTTGCTTGGCGCTTTTTCCGCTTGTACAGCGGGCGTTCGAAACGCGTGGTAACTCTCTCCTCCCCCAACTGGAGGTCAAAATAAGAATAACAACTTATACGGCCTAGAAAAAATTTCGCGACGTTACGACTGATATATACCCTTTCTACCCAATCCTTGCCGGTGATGGAGAAGCGCCGCCAGTGTCAATTGAAGTATCAACCAAACGGGATTACCCGAAAACTAGCCCCCACGGGGAAAGCACCCATCAAACTCCCCGGGGGAAGTCCCAACAAAGCTCCGCAGGGGGGTTCCAACGCACTTTCACGGGGGGAGTCTCCACCAAAACTCCGCGGGGAGTCTCCACAAACTCGCGTGGGCGGAGTTACCACCAATGTCCGCGGGGGGAGTTACCACAAACTCTGTGGGGGAGTTATCACCAAAACTCCGCGGGGGAGTTATCATCACTCCGTGGGGGGAGTACACAAACTCCGTGGGAGGGAGTTACCACAAACTCCGCGGGGAGTTCCACAAACTCCGCGGGGAGTTACACCAACTCCGCGGGGAGTTACCACAAACTCCGTGGGGGGATTTCAATGGCACTCCACGGGCGGGAATTTCAATGCACTCCACGGGGCGGGAGTCTCAATGCACTCCACGGGCGAGTCTTCAAGGCCACTCCAGGGCGGGGAGTCTCAGATGCACTCCCGGTGGGAGTCTCAATGCACTCCACGGGGCGCGCGAGTCTCATGCCACTCCACGGCGGCCGGAGGCTCAATGCACTCCACGGGAGAGGTTCTCAATACACTCCACGGGGGGAGTCTCAATACACTCCACGGGGGGAGTCTCAATACACTCCACGGGGGGAGTCTCAATACACTCCACGGGGGGAGTCTCAACACACTCCACTGGGGGAGTCTCAATACACTCCACGGTGGGAGTCTCAATGCACTCCACGGGGGGAGTCTCAATGCACTCCACGGGGGGAGTCTCAATGCACTCCACGGGGGGAGTCTCAACAAACTGACCCGAAGGGGGGTCGATATCCAAGGTGGGCTCACACAAAGGCAGACGCCCATAGCTCAATGGTATACCCGCATCCAGCGGATCATACGCCTCTAGATGAGGCGGGGTATGCTTAACTATCTCATCCGCTACGTGCAGAGAATCTGCACGCAATGGAAAATGAATCACTGGCGAAGAGTCTAACAAGGGCCTGACATAGTAAGACTTGCGGACAAAGTCTACACTAAGACCCGACAGATTACAAAAATCAATGCCCAGCAGTACGTCAAACGGCAACTCATCTACCACGAAAAAATGGTGCGAAAACTTGCGCTCCGCGAGACGGAATTCGAGCTCAATAAGCCCACTAGCCCACCTAGCGCTACCAAAAACCCCTCTCAAGAGATTCCGCGATTGCGAAGGCTTTTTCCCCAAGGCTTTAACCAGAGAAGAGCTGATCAGTGAAACCCTAGCCCCAGTGTCTATCTCAGCTGTTACGTATGTCTCACCCATTGCAATCTCAATAGAGGGTTCCGGTGAATATCCCAGCTCAAACTCAGCCGGCATCCGCGACGGAGCCTGCACGAACCTCACTGATTTAGCCGGCGTAGGCTGCGTACACACTCTAGCACTTTCTAATGACGGGCAATCTTTCTGTACGTGACCCGGCATATTACATCGATAACATATGACGTTGTAGCCTTGCCTAGCACCCGGCCTAGCGCCGCTAAACGCAGGTCTGTCTCGAATCGCGTCGGGTTGGGTCTGCTGAGGGACGGGACTCCTACCTCCACTAACTAAGCCACCCTGAACCCGTATGGAATTATCATTGTAATATCTGCGATCCTCACGTCTAACAGTCATAAAGTTGTCTGCAATTTGTCCCGCGTGAGCCACAGAACTTACTTCACTTTGTCGTAAGTGGTGTCGGAGATCATCATTCCGTATGTTAGAAATAAACTGATCAATCAGTACTGTCTCCAAAACCCCGTAGAACTGTGCATGTCGCAACAACTCCTGAGGCGGTTTAAGCCACCTATGAAAATAGGTTTGCAAACGTCCCGCAAATTCCTGAAAAGTCTCATCTAGAAATTTCTTCGCTGTTTTGAAATTAACTCTATATGTCTCTGAAGTCAGATTGTACGCTGCGAGTATAGCCGCTGTCACTAGCTCAACAACTTCAAGTTTTGTCTGACGTCATCTGCTATACGAAATAAGCATTTCTGAGCTCGCCCCGATAGTAATGGCTCTAGAATAGCCGTCCACCGATCTATAGGTTTGCTCTGCGCAATACATAGTCTCAAATGTCTGTAAGTAACAGTCAATGTCATCCTCCTGTGTCAGTTTATGCATGCCCACTAACTTATACACTGACGAACCTGACTCTCTAGGCCTAGCGTCCGCTACCGCACCTCGATCTGCAAGTAACTCTGTCAGAAGTTGATGTTGTTGTTGTTGTTTTTCTTATTGTAGCCGCATGAACTCCATCATGACCTGCATTTCTGGTGAAAGAGCAACTGCCCCCCCAGCCTGCTCCTCATCCTCCGCCGATTCCTTCACCCCCCTCTTAGGAGGCATTATAGCTCGTATAAATCAGTACTCACATAAACGGCTGATGCAACCCGACTTCAAAATCACGTCACAACCAAAAGTTGGCTTACCTCACCGTTATGTTATGTACAGTTATCTCGTTCAAATAACAAAAAAAACGAAAAAATGTAATCCCTTCCTGGTTTTCTATCAACAAAATCCTATAGCGGGCAGAGACCCCCAAAATGCGCAACCATGCAAGCAATCAATACCCTGAATGCAATGTCAATAACACGGAATACGCGAAAATAAACGCTCAAAACATGCAAAAACCAACGAAATACACGACTCATAATACTACTGTAACCTGCCTCACTGCGCCACCTACTGAACAACTATCGTACCTATCTCTCTATCTACCGTTAGTACAGTTGAAAGCTAATTCGCTACCACAAGCGACTGACTGCAAAACAACAACGCTCAAACACGACGGAGGTGTTGAGTAAAGTGAATACACGAGTCTGAGCGACAAACACGCGGGCTTGACACTCAGCTGACAGACCTACTGTACGTTCACAGCAGTCTCCCTAACGACATGCGCGATGCAAGTCGAAAGAACTATGCAGTCTACCATTGTACGCTACGTGCGCCATACAATACGTCTCCTAGCTTATCAACGAACACTTTACGATACGCATACTGGAAAAGGTACTTAGCTTGATGTAGAGCTTGTTGTCCAGGGCCTCCACTCTACGTACTCGACGAACCAGTTCACATCACTACTATCCTGTCGACTGCGCCAAAATGTAAGGGTTTGATCCTTACACGGTCGGTGTCCTGGTCGTCTGGTAGAATGGAGCCCCCGAGTCGATCCCAGGCGGTCCTTATATATGTTGGCAGTCGTGGCCTTGCCTGGGCTTGCCGGGAATCCTAGGTTGTAGGCTGTAGAATGGCTTCGACTCGTATAGGTGACGGTAGACACCTTACAAGCTATCCGCGTGCTAGCCTGACCAGGCTGTGCGGCGGATTGTCTATACTATTCTAACCCTATCAATACCGTTTCTTGGAGCTATCCGCGGGCTATAGTACTAGAGCTAGTCAGTACG